CGAACTGGGTACGTCTGCCACGCTCGTGCTCTCCCGCGCTCTTGCCGGGGTTGGTACAGGCGCTGACCGTGTGCTTCCTTTTCCCCTGCTAGATGAACAACTTCATCGTGGGCCAAGTCACACCGACGATGATGCAGAACATCACCTTTGGCACGTTCGTGTTCTTCGGGGTAAGCTATCTTCGTCCCGTAGGTAATCTGAAGTCGGGCGTCGCTGACGATGTTCTATAACCTTAGTCGTTCTCGTTCCTCGGTGCCCTATTCATTGCGTTTATGGTTCGTACGAGCTTCGCCGTTGCCCATACACTCATTACTGATGCCGGTCGCTCTGTGCCTTGCAGGTGCCAGAGACAAAGGGTCTCACACTCGAAGAGATGGACGATGTCTTCGGCTCAGAAGGTCTCGCCGCCGCGGATACAGAGCGACAGCTCGCGATCGAGAAGCGTCTCGGCCTCGACCAATACGCCTACACGAGCTCGGACGCGGACAGCTCGGAGAAGCAGGAAATCCATATGAACGCCAAGGTGTAGGCGCTGCCAACGATCTGCTACGATGCGGCGCTGTCTGTTGGCGCCATGTAATGACACTGTGTTCTATTATGAGTGACGATTCGGCGTTGACTGGCATGTACCCACTACTGTATAACAGGTTCTGCATTGTTTGTCCGCATGCTCTTCCTTGCTGTCTGTCGCACGGCTTGCATCGTGCATGCTTTTGATGCTGCTGTTCAACAGCAAATAATGTGGTACGACTCGGAGATGAAGATATATATGCAGATGAATGAACATGAGTATGCCGCCCAGAGTATCATAATGGTGTCCGAGACCGAGGCGATGCACGGGTTCGCTTTACGAATTTATGGCGGAGGAAGAAAGGAAAGCGAAGGAAGGCGTCGACCCTATGGGCGTCAAAAGATTCGGTTGAGCCAGTAACACGATCACGTGTTTCGCGCGGGTCGCGTTCGGTCGTGGCCACTGCACACGCGCCTGTTTCCAACATCCATCTTCACCACATTGGCCAGTGCACGCTGCACCTGCAAAGCTATGTAAGTCCCGGTATTTTCCTAAGTACCTCTTGACTATTCACAACTATCTATCCCGATTCTGGGAGCCCATCTCACTTTCTGCCATTCGATGGCGGAGGCCTGGGAAAAGAGCATCGTCGTTGGTGCCACAGATGACAGACATCAAGCACTAACTCTGGTTATGCTCTCATCACGCATATGCATATAATTTGACTTGTACTACACTACATGGATGCTGCGGAGCGTGTCTTGCACCCACGATCCTGCAGCGAGGCAGGGGCTGAAAGGCATGATGCCGGTGGCCGACCTATCCCCTTACAACCCATGTGTTGATGGATTGCTTTATGTGAACTGATGTTGACGCGAATAGCAACGATACCTTGGCATTGGAGAACCCAGTTCGCAGTGGCAAGAATCTTCTCTCAACGCCTGAGCACAATGTCGCAGGCGTACTTCCGAGACCTCAACCCCGCACAAGTCCAAGGTCTGCATACAAGTAGCCCCTACGAGAGGCTTTGAATGACCTTTGAATAGCCGTTCAACACCCTCCGGACGTCCCACTACAAATCCTCGCCGGTCCCGGGAGCGGGAAGACCAGGGTCCTCACCGCCCGGATTGCCCATCTTATCTTCACCACCACGTCGCGCACAAGCTATATGCGCGTTACATTTACGAATAAGGCCGCGAACGGATGCCGGGCGCGGCTAGACGTGCTTGTTGGTGTGCATGACACATCCCGTATTCGGATGGGCACCTTTCACGCACTCGTGCATCGTTCCTCCGTAGGCACGGACGAATGGTCGGCCTGGAAACCAATTTACGATATGCGATGCGGATGAGAGGTAGGTGCCCCGACCTACCTTGTCAGACTTGCTGACCTTTCCTCCAGTAAGAAACTCATCAAGAACCTGCTGGAAGAGCACTCCAGGCACTCAAGGATAAGAACATCTTTTGACCGAAGGGACGCTAGGATCGATGATCGCGAAAGCCAAGGCGCGTGGTCAACAGCAGACGATGTCAAGTCATATACCTCCGCAACAAAGCCAAGGGCAGTCGAAGGCGCACACGAGTACCACGGACGACGACAGTGATGGCGACCCCGACGAAGGGGAAAACCAGACATTGCAAGATGCCAATATCATGGCGGTTGTCGCAGACGTCTACACAAGTATGAGCATACACTCAGGCAAAGCAATAGCCTGACTTCGATGATCTACTCCTTTCGGTGTGCGGCTCTTCGCGCGGCATCCCGCTGTCGGCGACTGGTGTCACATGTATAGTGGATAGTTGTGAGTGACACATGTGGTTTGGTCTGGTACGGGTGCTGACGCCGGCAAAGTCAGGACACAACACCATACAATACAAGCTCATGAGACGGATCGCTGCGGCGAGTGGATGCGTGACGATTGTGGGTGACCCTGACCAGTCAAGTGCGTCCTCCCTTTGACACTTGTGTCCTCGACCTATCGTGATATTGATATGTCCCTGCTACCCTCGTCACTGTTCGTTGCAGTTTACGGCTGGCGCTCTGCGGAAGTGAAGAACTTTATGAAGATGCAGCGAGGTACGCACAATCGCCTCGATGATCATAACAATGGCAGCCATTTGTTGCTTACCACGGTGCATGATCGGCAGACTTCCCGAAGACGCAACAAATCTCCTCGAGCAGAACTATCGCTCAACAGCGTCCATTCTTAGTGCCAGTATGGCGATCGTGAGTCAAGGTATGTACAGCCCGTGTGTCATAAAGTCCAGGGCGTTGACTCAGTGAAACGCGTGACACTTCAGACAAGAAGCGTGTTGCAAAGACACTACACGCCGCACATCCCGCAGGCACTCCCCCGATGCTGAAGTTGTACTTGAACGAGTACGAAGAGGCGGCATTCATTGCGACGGAGATCAAACGCTTAGTCGCAGCGACTGGAGGCATGCTACAATGGGGCGACTTCGTAGTGCTCTGTGAGTAACAGTCAAGTCTAGTGAACTATTTTGTGCTTATTGCCCCTATCCTGGCCGGTTTGGACGCCGAAAGTGCGATTCAGTGCTCTATCCCGGCTGATAGAGAGCGCACTGCAGAAGGAAGGCATCCCTAACAGGGTCCTGGGTGGACACAAGTTCTTCGAACGGCTCGAGGTTCGTACAGTTGACACTCCAGGCTTACTCCCACTCATTCCATTGCTGACCTTACGGTTCATAGGTCAAAGACTTGCTGGCATATCTGCAACTCATCGACAACCCACACTTTGTACCCGCTTTTGCCAGAGTCATCAACGTCCCTGCGCGAGGGATCGGCGAGAAGGTCAGCACCCTCCATGAGCTGAAGAGACCGATTCCTCCAGTTTCTAGCTGCCACGAAGGCTTATACCTCTGCATGCAGACAATCGCCGAGATTCTGGCTACCGCACAGCCCTCAAGCTGTCGCCTTTGGAGGTGGTGATGCGCATATATGATGGTACACTCCCGGACATCAAGCCAAGTGTCAAGCGCAAGCTCGCGTCGTTCGTCCCTCCTGTCAGGATGTTGCAGAAACTAGCACAAGCGGTCTGTCATCCACTCACGCACTGGTTAGGCGAATGGATCCCTGATACGTCTCAATTTACACTGCAGAGGACACTTCCGTCTGATCTCATCCGCAACCTAATCGAAGGTATGAATACGAGGCATACCTACGCAAGATGCAAAAGGACTGGGACAGTCGATGGGAGAACGTACAGGAACTCATCAACTTTGCGAGTGAAGTTGAGACGAAGTTGGGGGATGGTGAGGCAGCGGCTGACCTGAGGAGCAACCATGGGATGACGAATGGGACGTGCTCGAGGAATTCGACGGGATCAGTTGGACGACGAGGGGTTCGTGGAGGTCAGTCCCGATGCGGTTCCCAAGGATAAGGGCAAGGGAAGAGCTGGGGAAGGTAGATCGGAGAAGTTGGTTCACCGTATCTTCGGCTTTAGAGACTACGTCTGACTGCGACATATTGACAGGGATACGCCACTGCGACTGTTTTTGCAGGCATCCATGCTTTCAACAGATATGACGGCGGATAACAAGGACGACGGCAAGGGGGTATGGATGCTCTGGCTGGTCCCGCGCTGAATCTGTTCCACTGACGTCGGCCGAATTGTAGAAAGTGACTCTTACCACTTGTCATGCTGCGAAAGGCCTCGAATGGCCTGTCGTGTTTGTTCCTGCAGGTCCGTCCGGTCGTGTCAACTCTCCTTGGGAGAGAAAAGGCGCTGATATGCCGTCTTGTGTCTGTAGTGGAGAGGGGGACGTTCCCATCTCATCGAGCTGAAGATATTGACGAAGAGAGGTGAAAAAGTCTATTCTCAGAGATCCGCTTGTGAACATCTCTCACCGTCTCATGCCCCAGACGGCTACTATACGTTGCCTGCACACGGGCACAGGCTCTCCTCTATCTGACGCATGCGAATTCACGCATGTTTGCGGGAGAGGCCAAGAAGAAGGATATGTCGGATTTCGTCTCCGCCGCTCTCTGGGCCAACCAGGTATGTGCTTCTCTTGTACCAGCTCGCACGCTGGCTTAGCAGCTGACCTTCCGCAGAGTTGTTTCGCAAGAGAGCCACCGAATTTGTCTGCAGACGACCGTGTGCTAATCGCTCAGCTCCTCGGAAGGAATGTACCGGACGAATCAGACGTTGCCCGTAGAATGGCTCAGTAGTATGTGAAGATGTCGTACACAAACGGTGAATGTGCTGACCAGTTTCTAGTGACAGTAAACCAAGTGCACAGGTTTGGAATGCCTCGCACGGATTCCCGAATCGTCCTGCGGCCCACCCACCACCAGGATCGAACATTCCAGCACCTTTCCAAGGTAAGTTTCAACACCCAAATGATCTCGAACGTTGCCAAGATTTCTGCAGGTCCTGTGCAGTTCTCGTCGGCGAGAACTGCACTATCCGACAAGCCCCTCTCCTCCGGAGGACTGTCCACGCCTAAAGCGCTCCCATTACCACCGCTTTCGCCAATACGCAACACAGTCGTGAACACGGCATACAACCACCTGCCTACCGCCCCGCGACATCCTGTGGTGCCGGAGAAAGCCAAGAGAGCTTCGGATACAACAAGCCAGCATGCAACCATCGCCCGACTGTCGTGAAGCCGTCTCTCACCAGTCACCCCTTCACGCAAAACCGGCGCCGACAGAAACGTCTCAGTCGGCTTCACCTCCCCAGTCCTTACCTGCCACTCTTCCATCCAGTGGTTCGGATGAATATCGATCTTCCACCGTCAAGCCCGCCGCGGCAAGAGGCGCTTGGGTATGGGCAGGATGGCAGGAGGATATGCTAACAAGAAGTTCAAGACCCCGGGCGGCGGTGATGACTTATGAAGCGACTGCGTTCACCAGCCTTGGCGGATGTGTTGTGGAATCTTGCCGGTGCATCTACTTATCTGCTGTCTGTGCTCTGTTGTAAGTTGTACGTGATAGACCAATCGAATGTGTGGATTGCTGAATCGCGCTGTAAAGCCGGCGCTTGCCAGCCGCGTGCTGTCCTCGAGGCTCACGGCGCGCTGTCGGAGTGCGAGTTAGCACCGCCAGATACGACAAAGCCGAATGAGATATTGGCTGCCCTCGCATCGTGCGAGCACGCGAAGTGGCAAGCGCGTTGGAGATGCGGCGATTTGTATGCCTCAACCACTGGGAGCCGGTTCGAGCATCGAGGCGGCCACAGTATCGATATCATGATCCCAAGGCTCAGATGCTCAAACAAGGCAGCAGAAGGGACATACACATGTAATCGGGACGGCAGGAGTGCACGAACAACACGCGGCTGATGGATATATAATCTCCACCGTCCACAGCTGTGCCTACACTACCCCGAGTCCACGCGCTGAAGCTGAACGCACCCGAACAGTTTTTACCGCCGCCACGACCCAACCAGCTGGCATGCCATCGCCGATCAAGTCGAAGAAGGCAAGGTACTCCTTAGATACCGTTGACAGACTCTTCGAAACTGCTTTCGCGACCGCGACGCGAGTTTCTTTGCCCAGACCAAGCAAGTCGAAGATGGAGGAGGCGAAGGCGGCCGAGCAAGAGCCTCCACCCGCCTCACCGACTGCAGTCGGCTCACTCTACACTGCTCCGATGGCGCCCGAAGACGACACGCCCGACTCGTTGTGGGAAGAAGTGAGGCGCCTCAAAGAGAAGAGTCTCGCCAAGTCTCCGCCCAAGGTCAGGTCAATTGAGCAGGCGCTCTCGTCAGGCTATGCGAAGGCCGCTCAAACCCCCGAGAAGAAACTGACGAAACGTACCTCTAGGTGCGCTCGCACTCGTGTCTAGTTAGCGACATCGTGTTAAGAGTATATCGTGTACAGTCCTACCTTCAAGGAGTCGCCAGATGGTCTGACGGTGATTCTCGAGGCGTCTCATGCACGTACCAGCTGGAAGTGAATGCCTGTCCCTTAGATGACCGCGACGTTCGAGATCCCAGGGGTGCAGAAACAGGACATGCATGTCAGCTTTCGGTCTAGACATATCATCGTCACCTGGAGAATGAGGAATGTCAGAGAGAGCATGGAAGACGGCGTCCTTGTGCGCGACAGACAAGAAATAAAGCACACACAATTCATCCCCTTGCCAGAAGGGACCAAAGTGAGCCGCCACCGCATTGTGCTTGGATTTGACAGGGTGGTCGCTGACGATGGATTCAGTTCGAGGATGTCAGCGCCTCTCAGGATGGCCGACGGCTCGTCTTGACGTATCCCAATTCGCGCTATCTACCTGTGTCTCCCCGTTCTCCTCGAGTAAGTCTGGCCCGTATCTGTACAGTCAAGCTGCTCATCAGTAAATCTGCATGTTAGACTGCGCTTTCGGGGGCGACAGAATTCCACACATGCTCACCGATTGAAGTAGAACTTGAACAGGAGTCATAGGAGAAGAGTAGGACTCGGAGGACGGGATGCCGGGGTGCATGTATGAGTAAGACGCACGCATGAAATCACTTGAGAACGTAAAGGAGCCTGCACAACTGGACAGATGTCGCTGAAGCGGCAGAGAAACCAATGAACTGGGCGCGTTTACACGCCGAATCATTAAGTCATTGCGATTATGCTGCCTGTACGTTGAATCCGAACTATTCGCTGCTAATGTATGCCGTCCGTCCATCTGCTGAATGCGCTAAATAACCCAAGAAAGTGATCACCACCATACCCCATTTGCGACTGGCGGTGGTAACTAGAGCAGGTCGCCCATGTCGGGACACCGCACGCTCACGAGCTGCGCGTCGATGCCCGCGTCGTCATCACCGAACTGGACCTTCTTCGCCTTCGTCTTCCACCTCTTATGTGGCAGGTCCGGCTCCTCGCGGAGTAGGAGGACGTCCGAATTGCGCAATGGAGGGGTATCGAAATCATCCTCGTCATCCTCGTCTTCGTCTCCGCGACCCAGCAAGGACAGAGCGGTGCTACCGTTCGAACGCTGCAAGACGAGTGACGTCAATCTCCGTCCATACACGCACCCCGTATCAATGCCCATGCTCCACCGCTTGACGTCCAGCGAGCGGGTGGCTGCGTGACCGTATACGACGGTGGCGGGTTCGCAGGGCAAGGCCTCTGCTTCGGGGTCACTCCCTCTGAGGCTGCGAATGCTACGAGGATGCGGGGGCGACGCGTCGGAGGGAAGGGCGCTGTCGAAGCCGTTGCACAGGCCCATCTGCTCGTTCCAGACTTTGCTCCAGGGCGTGCCCTTGTTGTTGTCCCTGGTCATACGTAGTCAGCCCGAAGAGCCATGCCCGTTAGGCTAGTGAAGGCATACCGGGTGACCTTTCTCTTTTTCTTCCGGATGCCCCGCATGTTCAAGAGCACCCATGGGTCGCGGTTTCCGGGGATGTCCTTCAAAAGCGCGCGCTCTTGCAAGGTGCGGAGCTGCTCTTGCGTGTCGTTCTTCTTTTTTAAAGCATCCTCCACCAGAGCGGACGCAAGTGCACTTTGAGACACAGAGGACGACGTGCCGACCGCATAATGCCCCTCGTCCGGTCCGGTCACAGAGTGCGTCAGCCTCGGCGGGTGCGCGAGCGGCTGGTGCCTGTCCGTCAAGGGGCGCTTCGGATCATAGGGCAGGATGCCCGCATGGACGACAAAGAAATGCTCCGAGGGTACGTGCAGCACCAACGGCAGCGAATACAGACACGCCTTCTGCACCGGCGTCATCTCCCTGTAACCCAACACCCATCAGTCGCACCTCTACGACATGCGTCCAACACAACGCACCTCGCCAGCCAGTAATGGTCGTCGAAGATCGGCCAGTCCTTGTTCTGGTGGCCCTTGCCCGGCCGGGGCACCCTGCGCCACCATTCTTCCCGCCACGTCCCGACGGCGCGCTTCCGTGCGACGTCCGCCCACTCCTCCGGGTCCGCCGAGCCCTTCGGGTCGCGCCGCACGTCGCGCTGCCACTCCCGCTCGATCAGCTCCAGGAACTGGCGGCCTGTCTTCACCGGGCGCCCCGGGTGCGCATCGGGGTGTAAGTCAAGCTCCGCGCCCACCTCGGTGAAGGCGGGCGCTGAAGGGATGGATAGCTGCAGCGGCTCGAACCAGTCGCGCCACGCGCGCCATTGGACGATGGTCTGGTCGTGATTCCCGCGCACGGCGTAGAGGGGCCCGGGCGCCTCCCCGCATTTGTGCTGAGTGATGAAGTCGAGGATGGCGAGAGAGCCGGAGAGCGTGGTCTTTGCCATCGTGTCACCGGCGAGGATGATCGTGTCTGATGCAGGGTCGTAAGATGTCGCCGAGAGCAGGTTGCTGGGAAAACGTCAGCGTCACGACATGACAATGTGGAACGGATGAGTCGGACAAAACTGCTGTCGGAAGTCTGTCTAAGCGAGCTACATAGTCGCTGCACGGGCAACCTGCGCAACGAGCGACCGACTGATATGAGTAGTAACGGCAAACGTCCGTACTTGGGCTAAACATACTCCTGAATTGTGGAGGCGGAGCACTGCATGCGCTAGAAGAGGGTAAGGTTTGGCCCTCTGCAGGGAACCCTCGTTACGGAGAGCAAAATGTCATGCAAAGCGCGTTCACGAATCTCATGCGTTTCGTAATCCGGCGGTGTCGGTCATGACAGCAAGGGTACGCAATGCCCCCCCTGCGCATGGTTCACACCCACGGTGCATATGTGAGGCGTAGACATACCCAGCGTGGAGTTGTGCCAGCTTATGGTAGCGGGACCAACTGTATGGTGTTCACGAGATTGTAGAGTCCGCGCGTCTACGACACGCGCCGGCATGTGTGCGTCCCCACATCCGCGGGTAAGCAACCCCATGTGCGGGTCTCAACTCTAGGCGCAAGCTGACTATTGCTGGTCAACCTGGCCTGGGATATGCTCCGGGATGGATCGATGGAAAGGGAGTCGTGGTCGAGTGCCGCATACACCAATCACGACGAGCGCATTGGAAAACATGAGGCACATGACCACAACGAGGAGTCGCAATCCTCCGGGAAGCGTGCCATAACGCGAACAGAAGCCAGGATGATTTGGTAGGGAGGGAACGTACTGGAGGGACTTGTTCATTCCGTGGAGATCCCCGATTAGCAGTACCCGTCGGCTCGGGTCATCTGTGCGACTGTCAGCGGGCAGGCTCCACGAAGCTGCAGACGACTCACTGAGGCCCAGCTCCCCCTCAGAAAGTGTGTACACCTGGGTGACCTTGTTGAAGTCCGGAAAGTCTATCCCCCTCGTTCAGCGCGACCATATGCGTCTGTGGACGAAAGAAGGCTGACCATAGACAGGCTTTTCTTGTGGATAAAATCTGGGAGATGGCCCGACGACAAGAAGTCGAACCTCATTGCGAGCCCGACCAGGAATATCGAGGAAAGGGCTAGAGCAGCCACTGGATATGCTCGTCGTTGCCAATGACTTGCGCCATCGCGTGGCCGCTTTGACGAGGACATCGTGAGTCGTTACCTGCACGTTGCAGAGGCAATTTCTGTGGGCAGATGGGAGGAGAGGACAAGTTGGTCGGCGTCAGGCTGCATGCCACACCACCGTCTGGGACGAAAGCAGAGCTCCGCATCGGCACTAGCGGTGCCGTCACATATGTTATAATGCGACTTTATCTGATAAGATCAAGCTGCGCGCGTACCGCACCAGTGCTCGTCAACAGATCCTCTCGAGTCCGAGTCCCAGAGCGTGTGTTGGTGCTCAGGCTGTGCAGCCAGAATATACGACTATGTGAATTTACGTAAGGCAACGACTGCACTTTAGGAGAAGAGCGGACAAAAGTACAGTTCAGTCGTCTCACACCTTGAGGTGGGGGAGGAGGAAGTTCCGAGAGCTCAGCGCTCAAACAGCGCCGCGCAGTGCCACACAGCATGATTCAAATATATTTCGAGCTTTTTCATGAATGGATGCCAGTGAAACTTGACCAAAAACGGGTACTCATCACGATCCCGAACTGGGTCCGGATCACAACCACTGCGGCCAGTTGCTGAGCGCTGAAGGTTGCTAGTTTGTCTCCAATGTGCCAGTGGGACTTGTCCTGAGTAGCACACACAAGCACTGGCACATCTACTGTCACGGAGTTTCTCGCGTATATCCTCAAAGCAGATCTACACCGTGCAGAGTGACTCTGTGCGACCATAGCTAGAATCTTCATAGACAACTACAGTCCCGGACCTCCCTCGAGCTCCGCGGCGGATCGAGCTAAGGTTAGTCGTGGCTAAAGCGCTAAAGCCCAAAGCCGGACCGTGGGAATCTGTGGCCAATCAAAGGCAACACTTTACTGTGGCTCACTTCTGTCATTCCAGCGTACATAGTTATGTACATAGTAGCTTGTACACTCTTCTGCACCAGGAACACCCGATAATTCGCTCCTTCCTATCACCCTATTCGAGCCTGGGACCGCGCATCCACTCTGGAGGATGGGCCAGTACTGGAGGTTGTAAGTAGCATATGCGTTCCGAGTCCTGGCAGGTTCACGGACGCGTGACTTTTGCTAGAATCAACATCGACAGGAGGCAGAGTATAAGCTTCGAATGTATGAAGCTCGGCGAGGTGATGTTTTGGCGTGATCCGGACCGACTAATCTGGTTGCTCGCCACCCCTCGCAAGGTGAGTCCACCGAGTTATACGACGTCGGAGTCGCGGACTGACAGCCCTTGCAGCCCAAGCCGTATCAGCGCTCTCTCGAACGCGGCCACAGCAAGGATCCGCGTGATCTGGGCGCGCTGAATCTTCCCTTCGACGTTTTGGATCTCATATTCGAGCATATCGCACTCGACAACATCTTAGATGCTGCCTACCTCGCGCTCACCAACTCGTTCCTCCGGGTCATCGGCGGGAAACGCATCTACGAGGGAATGTACGCCTACAGTGCGCCGTGGAGCCTGGACCGTCTCATCTGCGTCGGCGACTACCTCAGTGGCGATGACCTGCCTCCCGACATCCTAAAGGAGGACGAGGAGGAGTCGCTCAGCGGCGACTGCTCCGAGGAAGAGGACGGTGAGGACGGCGCACGCCTGTACAACGCGGCCAAGACCTGGCTCGACGACGACGTTGCGGCTAGACACTGGGATAGGAAGTTCTCATGGTCCGACACGAGAGTCCGGCTGTCCCATGCCGAGGACAGCGAGCTGAACGACTTGGTCGAGCTCGACTACTCGTGGGATGGGACGCCCGAGACCGAGTGGATCCTGTGCAACTGGACGCTCGCGCAGTACGTGCGCGCCAGCGCCGTCGCGAAGCTCACCGGCACGAGGTGTCACGGTCCCTGGGCAAACAGGTTTCTCGGCCTCGGACACGTCCTCCTCACGCAGATCTGCTGGTCGTCGGACGATTCGGTCAGCATGCGTTATGAAGGACCCATCCACCGCGGCAGCTGGGCCGGACACTACGTTGCCATCACCACTGTGGACCAATTGACGGAGAACCGCAGCTTCGCCGACAAGAAGGACTGGACGGACGTGACCGAGGTTTTGGAGATATGGCGAGCTGATAACCCTGAAACACTGGCACCGCACCTACGTTCTGAAGACTACGTCAGCGACAATACTAACACAGACGAGGAAGATCTACAAGACCAAGAGGAGAGCAAGCCGGACGACTCGGACGCAAAGCAGGTGGACTCGGACGCCGCGTTGGAAGACGCTTCAGGTGACGAATCTCAAGAAGCCGACAAATCGTGAATCAATGAAGGATCTACCCCGACCCAATGACGACGGTCGCGAAAGCTTCGCTATGCACTGTGCGACGTTCTGTGTAGTACAACAATGATGTGTATAGTAATGTCTATACCCTATTCCGTTTGTGTAAAGCCTGATTCAGTGTCCCCACGACGCGAATGTGATTGCAGAAGCAAATGTTTAAAGTTGCAACCAACTCGATCGTTGAACACGGATAGTGAAGGGAGCGCAGAACCTGTGTGCGGTGAACTGCGACTTTCACTCAGCTCAGAGACAACCAGTTGCATTCCAAATCCATTACATGATACACGACCGACATAGTCTAGAAACCGAGAATTCCAAAGATACATCGTAGTTGAGTCCAGATTCCAGAATATATATGAATAAAGATGAATGGACGAGTGTCGAGGCTGCTCAAACCACTCGTAAGTCAGAGCATACCTGCGATGTAGAGAAGAACGCACTTGAGGTACTGCAGACCCTCCGAATAACAAGGCCGAGGCATCGGGTATATGATCGTCTTCGCATGATACAGGTAGGTGGGGGTAGCGACGAGCTCCGCACAATGTTACTTGTGACCGCTGTCACAAGAATACGGTGTCAGTAGAGAGACACACGTCAGAGATGAAGAAGACGGACCAAGTGGGTATATTCACGACGTGTAAGATGCATGGGCCTGACGATGATGATGCATGGCTTCAGGAATCTTGATATGGGATGTCTGAACGGACATGAAGTAGCCGTGACCAAGATGTTGTCAAAACTAAAGACGGTCAGCAATTGTGCGGATAACGACAGAGGAATACGCGTACCTGTCCAGACATGTTAAGAGATAGATGAATGCACGAACCAAGATCCGGATGATTGATGAGGAACCAAGAAATGTGCGAGTGTGTCCGTTTTTCTCCCCGTTGCTGGTTTATGGGCCGTTGCCCTCGCCTTCTACTGCCCCCGTCCGTCCGTATGTGGACTTCAAGGGGAAGCGAGCGCCTGTTCGAGCACCCTGGCCAGTGCCTGAAGGAGATCAGCGACTGAACACCGCTATCGCGCAGACAGCACACACACCTCTTGCTCCTCCTCTCCCAGCTCACTAAACAGCTTCAGTGACTCAGACTCAGAGATAATCTGCAGGGCGCCCGGGCGTCCCTTCGGCGTTGGAGAGGCGAGCGTGCTGGGTGCCTTAGCCCGCGCCGCCGCAACGGGCTTCCTGGGCGCGCCCGGAGCTGGCGTGCTCTTGTGCTGAGGTACAGAGGGAGGCGCCATCTGTACGTCGGTCATTGAGGTGGCTGCGGCCTGAGGAACGGAGGGGATAGGGGTGCTGGGAGTGGCCGAAGGCTGCCGTTGTGTCCAGTGGAGGGGAACGCTGGCACCGACTGGGACGATCTCCTTGTCCGGGGTCGCCATGTCCATGTCCGTGTCGACCAGAGTGGCATCCGGATCAGGCGCAGAGCAGAGAGACGCCATTTCCACATGCACCGACTCCATCGCATCGATCGCTTCAGGCTGACCAGAGTCTTCGTCGCAGACCATCATATCGACCGAAACAGAACCAGAAACAGCACCAGAACCCTCGTTCGCCAAGAGCATTGCGAAGTCCGAGATCAAAGCTACCTGTTCGTCGTGCCTCAGGGCCCTCTGAAGATGAAGGCCCCTAGCGGCGAGGTGCGCCATCATAGTAGGACCCAGAGGAGCATACGCGTTGTCAATCGCCCGTTGCAGGATGCCGAGGTCCTCACGCACGGCCTTGAGGTGGGCCTCCGCAGTAGCGAGCGAGCTCTGAGTTGAAGCGAGCTCAGCAGTAGTCGCGTCCGAGTGCTTGCGCTGGATGCAGCGGAGGGCGCGCGCGTGTTTCGCGTAGAGATCGACGGCCTTCGCGAGCCTGCCCTTCGTCCGCCGCCCAACTGCAGCACCGCAGGTGCAGGCGGGCTGGTCGAGCAGAGCTGCCGAGAGGCGCTTGACTTCCTCTTCGGCGGTGGTCTTTGCCGCGGTGATGTCGCGCACGTCCTGTTCGAGAGCAGCATTGCGAGACGTCAGAGAGTCGACCTTGGCCTGAAGGTTCTTGCGCTTGGTGGTCACGGAGTCGACTTCGGCCTCGAACTTGTTGCGCTGCCCAGCCATAGTCGCCAGAGCGGTCTTGAGCTCATTGATCGTCGCGTCCGCCTCCTGGCGCACCTCTTCGGTGTGGTGCCGTGCAATAGACTTCTGCCGGTTCAGTTCTTGGACGTACATGTGCGGGGTCCACCGGAAGTCAGAATTGTTGGAAGACTGAGCCTTGTGCATGAGTTGTCGCTTGACTACCGGGTATGTACGAGGCTGTTGCGGGGTGTTCTTCATGATCTGAGCATCCAGTTCGAGCCTGAGACGCAGGGCGAGCTTCCGGTACTCCTCGACGTTTCGAACGAGCCGGGCAATCGTGTCCTTGTCCTTCTGGTTCTCCTCAGCAGAGTCGGCCAGTGCGCGGTCGCGAGCCTCAACGAGACCCTCCAGAGCCATTGTCGTAGCCTTAGCAGTGTCCACTTCGTACCCGAGATCCTTGATACGCTCCTCCGAAGCCGTGACCTTGCTGTTCAGGCTGCTGACCTTCTCGGCGGTTTCCACGTGAACACGAGTGAGGCCGTCCTGGAGGCTCGCCGTTTTGCGCTTCGCATCCTCGAGTTGGGTCTGTAGCTTAAAAGACTGTAGCTGGACTTCGGTGCGCATCTTCCCGAGCTTCTTATTCTCCGATTCCAGCCGGGACATGTCTCTGCTCTGCTTGTGCAGCTGCGTCTTCAGCATGACGATCTCCTTTTGCAGTTTGTCAGCTTTGGACTTGGGCACGGTATCAATGGGGAGAGCAGGTGCGGGGCTGACAAGACATGGAGCGGGAGGTGGCGTGGCGCGGTCAGATTTAAGGACGAGGCTGACAGGCTCAGGAGACACAGTGGACGAGGACGATGCTTGGGCGGATCCGTCGGACCATGCGTCTGTCGAAGTCGACTCGGTGGTGGGACACAGACTTGTGTCCACCGGCAAGTCGTTCCGTTCCTCGAAGGCGTTGCGAGCACCAGAATCAAGAGAAACAGGAAGGGAGTTGTCGACGTCGACAGGAGAGACAGAAGCGGAGTTGGCGAACAGTTCCGCGACATGGTCAGTGTCAGTGGCTACCCTGACGGAAGCAGGCCTAGGAATGTCGACCTGGCGCTGGCGTTGAGGATGAATGCCGGCGACCCATTCCTAGATGGGTGAGGTTACGAGAAACTCAATGCACATAGGCGCGGTGACATACCTCGACACGCCCTCTCACGAACCAAGAGAACCGATAACAAAGCCGGAGGTAGCCCACGTAGACGTTGATGAGACCGAAGAAGACCACCACCAAGCCGAAGTGAACGAATATCCAGAGCAGGATGCCGTTGGACATGAACCGAGCCTCGGGCGTGACCAAGTGTGCGAGAGGCTCGAGGAAGTCGAAGTACTCGCCATGGGCCATACAGAGGCAAAGTGTGAGGAACAGTGAGAGTGTGAAGCGGAAGTACCGTTGGTTCAACATGACCGGGACTGCTGAAGGCGTTCACGGGCTCGATGAGAGTACGAGGAGAAGGGAGGAGGGAAGCCGGCAGCGTATAAGTAGGCGACCGTGAGGCTGACGACACCGTCCGCCCCAACACGTTGCAACTTCGATCTTGACTTGGTCCAAGCTGTGCTAGTCAAGATCAGAATCCTCGACTTACCCGACATCGGGGTCAACTGGCAGCCTGTCTGAACGAGTGGGCAGCGCGAATGAATGACAGCGTATGAGGACAAGTAGCTACCGAATCGGAGCTTGCATACTCTCAAAACATATGTATACACACCTATAGTGGTACATACATATTGTCGGTCAACCGGATCGATGCATCGGATCGACACCCGTTGCATATGGTACCGTCCAGGTATCTCAGATCTCAGATTCAAGGAGATAGCGCAAGGGCACGGACAGCAATCTCGAACAACGAGAAGCACGGCCGGAGCACAAGAACTGAGTACTCACATGCCAATCCACTCGGCCTGCCGTCCCAAATCCAATGGCACGGCTGGGGTAACGTAGGAAGCCACACGGCACAGCACTCTACTCAACGTCATGCTGCACACCACTCAAAGTCTATGGACTACTGTCGTGTCCTGATGAACTCCGTCACCAAGTGCTTGAACTCGTTCGGCCTAACGATCCGGAGTCAGCTGTGTTGAATGATATATCGTGAAGATCGCACTTACTTCTCGGCATGTACTAGCGATTGTCAATGTTAAGCACAATAGAACGACCAATGTGTTGATCTCACTCACCCCAGTGGCCGGCCTCCAGACGTTCCAGCACCATGTTCGGGAAGAACTGCTTAGCGACGGGTATGTTACGGTCGTTGATGTACCTAGATCCAACGTTAGATATCCCCCTTGTTTGCTGGCTCGGTGGGAGTGACTCACTTGCTCTTCGTGCCTTTGATCAAGAGCGTGCTGCCTTCCCAAGTCCGCTCACCGGGTTCGTACGGGAAGGAGCCTATATCCGGTATGCTGTCGCCGATGATCTCCAGGGGTATCTGGAATTCGAGCGGAAGGTGCTCGTGTCCCTGATGCTTGAGATTCGTGAGGAGGAACGCGCGGGTCATTGCATCCTGATGGAGTCAGCACGAAGCCCACAATACATGACGCGTGACCTACTTGTTCATATGGCTTCAAGATATCCTGTGCTTCCTTCCGGTTCGTCACTTTGCTAGATTCGATCTTCTTCAGCGCTTCAATATATCCGCTGAACTCCGGCGAGAGGGGACCCTTCGCCGGCGAGATGTCCGCGACAATGAGGTGCTTGAGGTCCGGTGGGCACTCCGGGCTGAGCGCAACAGACATCGCAACCTTTCCTCCCCTTCCGAGTACATGAGAAACGCGCGCGGGATTTCGGCCGAACACTCACATTGAATGACCGAGCAGAGAAACATTCGTGAGGGAGTGTCTGCGGAAGAAGTACAAGACATCCACGGCCATGGCGGCATAGTCCATGGGTCGTGCATGAGGGGAGGTCCCATGGTTACGCAAATCCTATACCTGCTTAAGCTCGACGGTGAGACAGGTGTGCGCAGGTGCGTTACCCACTAGGGTATATATTGGCATGTCTAGATCCCGGAGGAATGCTTTCGAGAGTGACAACCAATTCCTTTTCATTCCACTTGAGATAGTGAGTGTTTTGCGATTTTCGAGATACCGCGAACGTACAACAAGCCATGCAAGATGACTAGCGGTCTATCCGTCGCATTCCCGTCCTTCGGCACAAGCTTGTCATAGTGCAGGTTGACCGGTGCTATTGACTCGGCTGCCGAATGCGATCTCAATGAGTATTTTCTGATATTGGCAGTTCGTTGAAGAACCCTTGAGGACAGCAACCGCATTGCTGTAAAAGATGCGGATACTAGGGACCAGGACAGAGTTGTGACTGACTTGCAATGTGTGGGCGTTGCTCATGTCCGAGTTTGCCAGGCGCCCATGAGCTTCACGAGCGCTTCGCTGCCGACGCGTTGTGTCACGCGTGACGGAACGCGTCTGGCTCCAACCACGACCGCATCGCAGGAGTCCTAGTTGGGCAGCTCCTAAATTCACCAGCTCTCTTCTGACCTATCATGTCTCTTTGGGTTGATAAGGTACGAATGCGCGGTGTGCTCTTAGCTCTTGTGGGTACTCATTCGCAGCAGCACCGACCGCGCGTCCTTGACGACCTGCACTATCACGCGGGCCTCTCAGCACGACTCCGCGCTCTAGTCAGTAGACCTTCCCAGAAGACACGCTTCTTTTCCGCTGACTCGCGAACTCGTTTTGATCAGGCGGCCTCTGGAGACTTCCCGCACATGCTTTTCTACGGCCCCTCCGGTGCGGGCAAGAAGACTCGGATCGCCTGCACACTGCGTGAGCTCTTTGGGAAAGGTGTAGAGAAGGTGTGTGTCTTACTATGCTTATTCTTCGAGAAATTGTGATGCTCATTGCAGGACACCTCAATAGCTCAAAATAGACCAACGAGTCTTCCTGACACCATCGAAGCGGAAACTCGACGTGAACATCGTGCAGAGCAACTTCCATATCGAGATAACACCGAGGTCAGTGTCGCGTCGAGTGATCGCATTCCCGCAAGACATGACACACATCGACCACAGTGAAGTTGGGAACTATGACCGAGTGGTGATTCAGGAGCTCTTGAAGGAGATTGCGCAAACTCAGCAAGTAGACATGAGTGCAAAACAACGATTTAAAGGTCCACCATATCATCGTTTGACACCTCGATACGGACCCTGACATTCACTCGCAGTGGTCATCATCAACGAAGCGGACTCACTAACGCGAGATGCACAAGCAGCTCTTCGCCGAACGATGGAAAAGTATATGTCTAACATGCGAATCATTCTTTGCGCCAACTCAACGTCACGGCTCATTGCACCCATCAAGAGTCGATGCCTCCTTATGAGGGTGGCAGCGCCGGATGAGGATAAGGTGAGGTGTCACCGTTACAGTGGACTTGATGGGCCTCATTCATGTCCCTCCCGGCCCAGATGATTGAAGTGCTACGATACGTCGGCAAGAAGGAGGGCTTCGACGTCCCAGACAAGATTGCGCACGACATCGCCGAAGACTCAAACGGCAACCTCCGCAAAGCCGTCCTCGTCCTTGAAGCACTCAAGATGCAATCGTCAGTACTCTCTGCCACCATAAGAGCGTCCTGGGGTAGATTCGCTGATGCACTGTGCAGGACTGACCTTGACAAGCCACTGACAATCGCGAAGCCTGACTGGGAGACATACTGCCATAAAGTAGCAGACATGATCGTCCAAGAACAGTCCCCACAACGCGTGATGGATGTCCGCGCAAAACTGTACGAACTTCTCAGTCACTGCATCCCGCCTACGGTTGTTATCAAGGTATGCCTCCCTCCCATCTAAGACTCATTGTAGCGAATGATTGACTAACGATTGGGCGAATAGACGATCGCAGACCGGGTCGTCGACCAGGTGGACGAGAGTCTAAAGGCGGACATCATGCACTGGGCGGCGATATACGAGATGCGTATGCGGGTCGGGAACAAGAAGATCTTCCACCTTGAGGCGTGGGTCGTCAAGGTCATGAGCTTATACAAGGTGCGTGCACTACGCTATGTCTGGGCGCATGTGATACTAAGCCAGATGTGCAGCATTTCTTCTATGATATAGATATGTCTGGCTTCGATGACTGATGATGTTTTGTATTGGGACTGTCCTCGTATATCCATATGTAGCATTAGCCGGGCCGTTGCTTTCAGTCCGCTGGTTCGTGCCCAACCATGACCGGTGCGAGAGCCTATAATTGTAGATTCTTCGACGATGAACAGCGATCTGGACGCGGGTGCGTGCAGAGCTGGTTGGCGGTGCGGTAACCGAACGCACCTGAGACGCGCCACCGAACGCTGGCGGTCGCAACCACTCACTGCGGTCATATTAGAAATCTGAGACAGACGTTCCAGGTTCCTAGTCAAGACACTATGTAGCCCGGTGACAAATCACAACCTCATGTCGGTACTGTACATCCTGCTGTGAACATGTCTCGTACAACTAACTCCTCGCTCTTTAGATCCACCCCTTGCTCTTGAATTGCTCGAGGATGTCACGCGTCGACTCTTCGAGAGTGAGGTACTTCTGACCGAGCAGTCGGTCGGCCTTCGAAGTGTCAAACGTCGTGAGGTGCGTCGTTGTCGCAGGGTCATATGTCTCGTCGCCCACAGGTACATTGGGGTAGAACTTCCTCGCCGCGTTCACTGGGAGGGTCATAGTCAGTCCATCTGCCCCATAGTATCTGAGCACACTCACATATGTCTTGGCCCTTCCAAGGTCCACTTGACATGATGATACGCTCGCCAGCTGTCTCTTCCTTTTCAGCGGCGACGATCAGGGCATCTGCAGCGTCGCGGACATCAATCCAGGTCATTCTGCACCAGAATATCGTGAACAACTTTCGAAACCTCGCGAACAACAACTAACAACACACCCAAATGTCGTGAAGAACTCCTTTTTCTGTGGGTTTCCGAGATGGTCCGTACCCTTGATGAACCCCTGGTACCAGATCCTCATACTCTCGTTCATCTCCTCAGGCTTGCTCACGGGCTGGAGCGTCGGCCCAAGAATCCACGGCGGGTTGCACACGACGAGGTCCCACCCCATCTTCCCCTTGTTCATCTCGGAAAACTCCCACGCGGCGCGCTCCGCTAGCACTTTGCTCGCCTGATACTTCACGAGCTGGGCCGCCTCGCGCCCTTTCTCGCGCACCTCCGCCACGGCACGCTCGTTCCAGTCCGCCTCGGAGAACCGCCGCGGCGTCATCCCGAGCTCGCGGATCGCGCCGCACGTGGAGGTGTAGACGACGCGCTTAACGGACGTCCCGAACGCGAGCGCGGACTCGAGAATGCGCAGGGTGCCGTTCACTGCGGGGATGATCTGCTCGTCAGGCTCGACGGCGTTCAGATGCACGGGCGCCGCCGTGTGCTGGATCAGATCGACGCCTTTGACGGCCTCGTCGAACGCGCCCTCCTGTTGGGCGCTGAGCTGAGTGTCTACGTGTGGTCAGAGGGAACGCGCGTACCTTGGCGATGTCCTCGACGATGGCAAACTCGAGCTTGTCGCCGTATTCGGCGAAGACCTGCTTGAGCGGCGCAATCTTGCTCTCGGAGCGGACGGTCCCTCGGACGGAGAAGCCGCGCTCGAGCAGCTTGCGCACGAGCCACATGGCGAGGAAGCCGTTGGCTCCGGTCACCAAGGCCTTCCCTGAAGTCACTGCTGGCATGGTGAGGCGAGAACTAAATCGTATGGAGTGGTTGTATGGGTCGTTGAGTTGGTGAGTCGATACGCAGACCTCGCGCCGCTTATATATCATGCTGCCTACGCGCTGGCCAAGACTTCAACCGTGCATGTACCGCAAAACTTGATATTGAAGGCATTGAATAGCCGGGAAGTCCATTCGGAGGGGGGCTACAGTGGACGTCGGAGAACGCGATGACCCGCTCGGACAGGCGGGTGGGTGCCGATGGATGTACGAGTCCTTCCCGCGGAGGTGCGTTGCGTATGCGGGCGTACCCGCTGCCGTGCAAACGCCCGTCCCATCAGCCCACGAAGGAGGTAGAGGCATACCGGTTGGTGGCCGGAAGGAGACGCATGCGCCGAGCTCTGCTCAGAGTTTGATTGGAACCTCCACGCGCATCGCGATGTGTTAACGACCTGTGTTCCGAATCGCTGAGATCGACGTGATCGGCCTGTGACAGAGCTGCTCTGAAGCATCGTAGCACCGGTTGCTGTGCATCAGGAACTCACGCTGTCCTTCGCGGATGTACCGGCGGCGATGGTCCGGATCGCACTCGATCTCGTGTATGAATTCTGTCATCACAGCTGCAGCCACTAGCCCTCCTCAATACTCGGACTCTGCAGCAGCGTGCTGACACTGCTGAGTACCACTATTGGTCCCGCCGGACTGATCAACGAAGTGTATCCCCTCTACTGTGCCCATCAGACTGACAAGATTCTCCAGACATTTCATTGACCAGCTGCAGCAGCAATGCTGGTATGCTTCCAGCTGGCGCATCTTCACCTTTGTTCAATGCACCCACAAACATCAGAAAGTACACTCCGAATCAGTTTCTAGGGCTTCCTTCTGCATGTAAGTCCCTGAGGCTCCTTAGATCCAGTTCCTGGCCTTGAAGTCCTCGACCATGTCCTTGGTGCCCTCTTCAATCGAGTGGTACTTGATTCCCAACAACTTGGCGGCCTTCGACGTATCGTACTGAATCTGGTGGGTCGCCTTCGCGGGGTTGTAGGCCTCATCGCGTGGAGACACATTGGGGTAGAACTTCTGTGCGGCGTCGACTGTGGTCCAACGGCATTGCAATTAAAACGTGTAGTGAGCATAAATGAACTGGTCTGACGCACCGAAGTCCTGCCATTTGTAGGGACCCTCCGAGACCATGATCCGCTCGCCACCTGCCTCCTGCTTCTTGATCGCGAGGACGTGCGCTTCCGCGAGATCGCGGACGTCGATCCAGCATGATCTGCATACACAGAACGCGTCAACAGGATTCATTACGGCACTTCGAATTACAGTGAAGATCACCTACCCGATGGACGCCAGCTGCTCCTTCGTCTTCGAGCCTTTGAACACTGTGTGGAACCAGTCGTGCATGCTCTCGTTCAGCGCCTCGGGGGCGCCGACTTCGTGTATGGCGGGGCCGAACACGTACGGCGGGTTCAGCACGACCAAGTCCCAGCCCAAGACCCCCTTGTTCTTTTCCACGAATTCCCAGGCGGCCTTCTCCGCGAGCGTCTTGCTCGCGCGGTACTTCATGGCGTTGGGTGCCTTCGCACCCTCTTCGTGGACGAGCTGGATCGCGCCCTCGTTCCAATCTGCCTCCGTGAACACGCGCGGCGCGCTCTGTATAGTGAGCACGGCAGCCGTAGAGGAAGTGATGACGATACGCTTCACGTTCTTGCCGTGTGCGAGCGCGGATTCGAGTATACGCGTCGTACCGTGCACAGCGGGGACAATGAGCTCGTCCGGGTCGTTCGCCTTGAAGTGGAAGGGCGACGCGGTGTGCTCGATAGCATCGACATCCTTAACATACTCGTCGAACGCTCCAGGCTGTGTAGATAGTACGCTTCAACGTGTCGCGCGTGCGCAGAAACGGACGTACCTTCGTGATGTCGTCAATAATGACCACCTCGAACTTATCGCCATAGCGAGAGAACACCTCGCGGACGTGCTTTGCCTTGCTCTCCGAGCGTACCGTGCCACGGACGATGTAGCCCTGGTCGAGGAGAGACTTTACGACCCACATCGCAATAAATCCATTCGCGCCCGTAACGAGCACCTTTCCTGCCTGGACTGCAACCATAATGAACGCGTAGTTGGTTCAGAGCTTCGGCGTTATGCAGAGGATACAGGGGGCGAGGGGGATGTGAAAACTGGACGCGGTCCCTCTCTTTCTGCCAGACCGTGTGCCAGTGATATACAAGTCTAGCCGCAAGTTACGCCATTCCATTTGGCATGTGAGCCGCTTGCGATCCTCGGAGCCATCGGTGGGACCGCGCAGATGAACGTATATATAATCACGATAAGAGAAGATTGTAGCACCCGCTACTCCCGCCGCCGTCAGTTCAAGCGAAGCGCTGAAGTCCTTAGTACTCATGACTGCACTGATCTTGCACTGGCTCGACGTGGTTGTATTCGAGTCATGGCAACTTACCCGCAGGGATGGCCCCATAGATCTGGAGCAGAAGTGGTCTCATATCGCAATACAACGCTAGCTACTAGTGTCAATGACATCCACTGGATGCTCAGCAGTGTCGTAGTGAGCGCGATGACCGAGAGTGTTGAATACGGTGAGCGGAGGACCCAATGCAACTTCGAACGATTATTCAGACTCTGCAACCCGTGAATTACCACTGCTAAGCACGGCCTCGTGCCTCCATTTGCGCGGTGCTAATGCTACATCATAGTGAATGACAACATTGCCCTTCCAAACTTCAAAAACCCAAACATGCATGCTCAGCTCAGAGTCAGAGCCACCCCCTGGCCTTCAGGTCCCCCACAATGTCCGAGGTGGTCTCCTGGATGCTATGGTACTTCAATCCGAGCAACTTGATGCTCTTCGAATGATCGAAGTTCAACATATGCACGGCCTTCGCTGGGTTGTAGGACTGGTCGCCGGGCGGCGCAGGCGCACCCGCCGCACGCGAGGCATTGACTACAATAACATGGCGACGTCAGCGCCGTAACGTTGCGCGATCTTTGACAGTACATACTCCAGTCTTGCCACTTGTAGGGACCAGACGCAATGATGATTCGGTTACCGCCAGCCTCCTCTTTCTCAATGGCAAGCGCATGGGCGTCGGCGAGGTCGCGCACGTCAACCCAAGCCATCCTACACCACGATCACCTAGTGAGTCAACCATAGGCACCAGAGCTGAGGACTACATACCCCAACGTCCCCAGCTGCTTCGGGTCCTGCGAACCACGGAAAACACTATGGAACCAATTGTGCATACTCTCGTTGAGCGCCTCGGGCGCGCCCACCTCATGGATGGCCGGACCAAACACCATCGGCGGGTTGAGCACAACCAGATCCCAGCCAATGCTCCCCTTGTTGTTCTCGACGAAGTCCCAAGCCGCCCGCTCCGCGAGCGTCTTGCTCGCGCGGTACTTGCCCGCCTGGCTCGCGTGCACGCCCTTCTCGCGCACCTCCACGACGGACTCGTCATTCCAGTCCGTTTCCGTGAACACGCGCGGCGTCGACTTTGCCTCCAGCACGGCCGCAACGCTCGACGTGATCACGACGCGCTTGACGGAGCTGCCGTACGCGAGCGTGGACTCGAGCACGCGCGTCGTGCCGTGCAGAGCGGGCACGATGAGCTCGTTGGGATCGCCCGCCTTGAAGTGATATGGGGATGCGGTATGCTCAACGGCGTCCATGCCCTTGACGGCCTCGTCGAACGCCCCGGCCTAACATGCATGCGCGTCAATAAGGACAGTCTCTGGATGGACCGGATCAAAGACCACTAGTGTACCTTGGTGATATCGGGCACAATCACCATCTCAAACTGCTCGCCGAAAGGCTTGAACAGTTGGCGGATGTGCTGCGCCTTGCCCTCAGAACGGACAGTGCCGCGAACAGTGTAGCCCTTCTCGAGTAGCACCCGGGCAACCCATATACCAATGTACCCATTGACACCAGTGACGAGCACTCTACCTGCGGCAACTGCTGGCATCGTGGATCAGGAGAGCGCGATGACGGAGAAAGTTGAGGGCGAGTGAGCGACGACACCGATCCCTATAAAACAGGAGTGGATTGGATCATACAACGGCAAACAATGGGAAATGGGACCAATTCTCTCGCGGGAGTAAATGTCGACCGCCTGACCGTTACGGCTTCGTACGGAGCGACAAGTACCCTCGTGGCCACCTTTGAATGCGTCATGAGCTGGCTCAGCTCACATATCATATGCCCGAAGTCGAAAGCTTGCATCGCGGCCGGGGTCAAGGTCGTCCGTTGTTCCGTAGCTTTCTCACACTCAGACCGTCGAAGCTCGAACGAAGTGGATTAGTCGATACAGTAGTACGGGCGCGACCCGCGCCGTATTTTGAGCGTGCGACGATACATAGCATGATAGCGTGCGTACAGATAGCGTCTAGTCGAAGAGACCGAAGCCCTGTGATGCAACGGTGAGTCAATGTGCCGCGGCGAGAATATCAGAACCATACCATATCGTCGTCCGACTCCTCCTCTTCCTCCTTCTTGGCCGGCTCGTCGGCAGCAGCGGCGGCGGGGGCAGCATCGGCAGCAGGGGCCGCAGCGGCGGCAGCAGCAGCGAAAGCCTCCGGGTTGGCAAGCACCTCCTTGATCTATGGGAAAACAGTGAGTCACGCAATTGATAATAGCAGACGATATAGGCATAGTCCGTCAGAGAACAGAAATCTTGTTTAGACAGCATACGTCCTTCAGACGCTCAGCATTTTCAGTGTTAAGTGTAATACGCATCCTTGGACGCTATCCTTCAAAGTGTGATGAGTGACGTACCTTCTCGGAGCCCTCGAAAGTGTAGTCGGTAGCAATGGAGACAGCGAGGAGGTTCTTGTAAGAGTTGACCAGTGAGTGCATGACGGACACAAGGGTCGGGTAGTGGAGCGCAAGCGAGATGGCAGCGATGGTCGTGATACCAGACATGAAGCGCTTGAGGAGCTCATCCTCGGAGACGTCGAGGACCTCCGGAGTGAAGACGTTGCCCTGGTCGAAGATCTGGACGACCGACATACCGTAGGTGAACGGCGAGATGTTCAACATGTTCAGCAGCGTCGCCTCGGACGTGCCGACACGGGTACCGGCAGTGACGACCTGGACGTCGGTCACGATTTCGATCGTACCACGAGCGATCTTGGTCGGGATACCGAGAGCCTGGAAGAATGAGGTCTTACCCGGCTCCATACCGGTGTTACCGCCAGGGATGACGACGTCCTTGGGGGCAAGCGCACCAGCACGGGCGGGGGCAGCCACCTTATTGGCCGTGATGATCTCCCGAATCTCCTTGAGGTCGTCCGAAGTGAAGACGAAACCGATGTTGCCCTTGACGTGAGGGAGCAGACGCTCGAACTGGGGGTACTCCGCGAGGATGGAGCGGAGGGCACGGCGAACCATCGTGTTCTTGCCCATCACGACGATGCCCTTGCCGCGGAGCGCGACACGGATTTGATGCATCTGGTTGGAACCGACGTTGTCGACATTGACCACGAAGATGGAGGCTAATTCGCAGGTTCATGGAAGGTACATATGAACTCAAGATGATAGACGTACGATACTTGGCGACCAAGTCCTTGAGCTTGGCGAAGTACAGTTCCTTCTGCGCGCGAGTGGCACCCATTGTGATTGCTTGCGCTATAAGCCAATGTAAATCATATGCATTTGCACGCGTATACTGACTACTCACAGGAGTTGTGTGTGGTGTGAGGTATGTCGTGGGGATCAGCGCCTCCCTATGACCTCTGCCCTGACTTGTTAGGTGTGCACGCTACGCTCAACACCAGCGTGCCTCACCTGCTGTGCCAAAGGATTTTTCAAGGCGACTGGTCGTGAGTGTGTGTAGAACGCGCCTCTCGATGTCGCGCATACCGTGGCGGGCGGTGGCTGCAGTTTCTCATTTAGAGTTTGATGACATCTCGGCGTTGACCGGTCAGGCTCTCGTGACCCTCTGCCACGTGCATCTTGCTCAAGCGCTCGTTGGTTGCTGGCACGGCCGACTCCGACTCACCTTGAAGTTTGGACTTACTGCGAGCACGGTCTGCCTGAGTGCCTTCTCTGCTTTCTTCTCGACTGTCTTGGCGACCTGGTTTGCAGGCGGCGGTTGTGATTGTTGCGTATTCTGGCGCGCTGACCGCGTCTGCCTCTTCAGACACGCTTGACACGTCTCAGTGGCCGGGCAGCGTACACACCATCGTAGCAAGACGGGCAGCTGGGGAGCTGCAATGGAATGTGGCGATGGTGCCATCGAACCGTCCGAGACGTGGGCGGCTTCGTTAGGGCTGCTGTAGCACGACGGTGCGTTCTGCAGTGCTTTGGCTCACAACATGATTATAGACTGTCCATTACGCAGGGCCTCTTATCCATTCCATGACTTACGACCATTCCTTAGCTTCGGTAGAGAACATCGATTCTCCCGTTCTGCAGGAGCCGCGTCGATCTTGGCGCACTCAGTGTCCAGAGGGGCGCGATCATCGAGACTTATCATCCCAGCGTCACCCAGCGAGCTGGCAGCGACGACGTTGTCTGCTGCAGCGCCCGGGGCATTCAGCCTACCCCGTGTACATATCAAAGTCTCTACCCAAGATATACAGGCGGCGCGTACAAGTCCTCACGCGGACGACCGTGTCCACAGCCTCCATCAGCACGCCGACTCCACTCCTGCACCTCTGGCACCCGGACGCACGCGCACGCACGAAGCTTCATTACACCCTTCTCCTCTTGACAATCTACGAGTGCTCCTCGCTACGAATATCACTGGCTCAGCTGCGGGTCGCCTCTCCGTCACTCGTGTCCGCTCCTTGTATCACTCCGTCCGCGCTCAAAAGCTTCTCGGCTCTCTACGTCCGGAAGAGTACAGCGCCCTTATCAGGCTGTTCGGATCGCTCTCGCTGTCCGCTCTCCATCGACCATACCGTTCTGCGTACGGACACTATCTGACAGGGTGCATGACAGACACTTCTTATCGTTCGCACTGGGTCGTGGTGGATCGCATTGCGAGGGACAAGCTCGGGCATGAGCATCCGCTGAATACATCTGATCATTATTGGCTAATGCGTATGGACATCGAAGCTCTCAAGACACCTGAAGTTGAAGCCAACAGTGCCTGTAAGTGCCATTGATTTCTTGATCTCGGTTATGACTTAACTCCTGTGAGTAGTGCTAAGTGCAGAACTAACGCAAGTGTTGAAGAGAGTCGAGACCCACTATGCGCGCCTTCGCCAGTACCCGTCGGTCGATATCCACGTCCCGTATCTGGAAGCCATGTTCTCAAGCCGAGTCACATTAGACGTCCAAGTTGCGACCAAAAGGCTGTGGGAGCTCCTCGTGTGGTATCATGGCTGTCCACCCAGACTGCTGGCCCTCGTCTGGCAAGCTGTCCTCGGGCCGCCCGCCGTAGTGCAGGAGGACCTCAAACTGGCTGTCTTAGACGCCATATGGCGTCGATTGCTGCGTTCGCCGAGCGAACAAGCTGTTGGGTCTGCGACACAGCCTAACCGATTCAGAGCGATGTCCGAGTCCGGTGATAGATCAGGGCACCTCCGTGAGCCGATGAACAGCGTCGACTTGGTTCCTTTCTTACGAGATGCACTCTTCGTTCGACACACTCCGCGAGCAAGCGCTGCATCGAAGCATGAGATGTCATCTTGGGCACTTTCCGTCGCCCGGAAGGTCTTCGCTCCCGACCACCTGGACGAGAACTCTGTCGGACACCGCTGGAACTGCTTCCTTCTCCTTGCCGTCGCCAGTAGTCCTGGACGCACCGGCGGGGGTAGCATAATGAACGGCTATGCCAGGTGGGGGGCCGTGGTCGATTGGCAAACGATATGCGCGCTGGCTTCCTTACAGAATGCTATCCGGTCCAAGGACCACTCCCTTGGTGTACCGTTCTCCGACGCGGTTGTGCAGGGCCTGAACAGAGTGCTAGTTGCGTTGTGGGAGCACTGGTCATCCCTCCCTGGCTTGGATCACACTGTGCGACCCCGCGTGGCTACCCGTGCCATATGCGTGTCGTTCATGCATCTCGCTGGCCGCCTCAAGAATCGCGATGTTGTCGAAGCTTGTCGCCAACTCTGCATGACCGCACGCCTGTGGGAGGAAGGGGAGCGTGGGCTGTCCAAGTCCACCAGCTTGCGTGCTTTGGTCCACGAGCAGTTGGTTGCCCTCTTGCTGTCCGGGTCGGGTACCGAAATGGCGATCTCGGCGACTTTGGAGTCCGTCCAGGATGAAGGCTTGCTCACGGATGTCTTCAACCACGTCATCACCATCTTCGCCCGGGAGGATGTCATGCTCGCCCTCGAGCTTCGGGACATCTTACTCCGTGTAGGCGTTCGACTGTCCGACGACAGCGTGCTCGAACTGGCTCTCCGTCTAGCGAAGCAGGGCGACGTACCACGAGCCAAGGAGTACCTGTTTGATATGTCCCTCTCCGTCGACCAACGTCTCAAGATTCTCAATGGGATACTGACCCAGCTGGTCCGGCGGGGGCATCGGTTCCGCTCTGCCCACCTAACCTCGGACCTGGTCGGTGCCATGCTCAGCCACCTTTCCTCCTCCTGTCCTCCTGCGGCCATGTGCTCTGTCCTCGAGTCGACCTTGCTGTATATGTTGCGCTTTCAGTACTCCAAAGCGGCCGTGACCATTGTGGAGGCTGTCGCACAGGTGGACACGGCATACTTCTCGCCGACGTTCTTCGGGTTGTTCATTCGGAAATTACTGCGGCACAGGCAGTTCCGGTATGCGAAGCGCATGCACGAGCTTGGTCACAGGCTGGGCGTTCGCGATACGCCGTCCTCGGAATGGCTCACTACTCAGCTGTCCAAGCATGGCGCATCGAGTCTCGCGAAGAAGGTTGCGAAGTCCTCGCTTGCGACGTCGGGCGTGTCCGCAGTGTCTCGCCTCGTCAGATTTCGGGAAGCGCGTCCGTCCCGGGTGCTTGTGATCAAGGTTCCTAGCTTTGTACGGCAGCGGCAAGTGCGGGATGGCCCTGCTGTTCACCGTGCCCTGGAGTTACTCGTACGTGCTGGGCGGATGCGCGCTGTCAAGCAGCTGTATAGCCAGCTGTGCGAGGACCAGAGTCCAAGCTCGAGAACAGCTATCGGGAATAGCATCCTTCACAAGAGCATGCAGCACCCTTCGCGATCGCAGGCTCACCGCGGGGTGAGGGCTGTAAAGACGCTGAACGAGCTGGTGGAGCACCATGGTTTCGTACCAGACCGGGTCACGATCAACGTCCTCGTCAAGGCGTACATGCAGTGGACGGCTGGATTTACCAACGAGGATCTACGGGCGCTGTTCGACCATTTCGTCCGGATCGGGTATCCTACTGGGTGTGCAATATACGGAGTGCCATTTAGGACCGCGGAGGGCCCGGCTCCGGTCCACCTGCCGGAAGTCAACTCGCCCCTTTCGTATGGTAAACACGTCAGGCCGCTGTACAAGATGTTCATCAAGGCGTTCTACCGGAGAGGCGATGCGAGTGCTGCGAAGGTCGTGGTGAAGATCTCGAAGGCGGCGGAGGCAGAAGCGGAGGACTCGCTGGATGCTTGGAGGAGGAGCCGGGTGCGGGAAGATCAGAAGTTGGAGAGCAAGTTGACGGCGGCCAAGCGTATATCTAGGTAGATGGTGATTGGGCAATCCACGAGTGTGTTTGGGGCCGATCCTAGCAGCTACGTTGCTGTGGTGGAGTGGTGTTGAGGACCTCAGCTTGTATTCTTGAGAGCTCGTCAGTGTGAACTGACGGGCCATACTGGGCTGTCGGTCGGTTCGTGACAGGGCGGACATGCATATGAGCTTGAGCCTAGCATCTGTAAACAACTCATTTCCCCGTTCTCAGAAGCTTTGAGGTCGTTCACACAAGAATCGCGATGTCGTAGAGCAGATGTGGATCATAGTACCGATGATCAATCAAACAAAAGACGGTAGCCAACACAGTTGGCGTGGTTGTTGCGTGCAGGCTGGGAGGATTGATTGTATCAAACTTGCCGAAGGCGAAGTACATGGTTGCGTAATGTAGATGCACACCTTCAGCGCGACAGCCCAAAGCGGCACATGCGAGGGCGTCACTCAGCGCTACTGTAATATCCGTTCACCCTACCGCCATGTCGTCTCCGGTGCCAGTGTTCTTCATATTCGCCATCATTCTCCTGGCGATGGGGATTGTGTGGTTTGTGACTCCAAAGGGCCCGAATCAAACGTACGTTCCACGACGTTGCCACCGCACGACCTACCGTGTACTGACTACGGACTGCAGACTCATCCGGACGAGCCTGATGCTGACGCTTATGTGCTGCTACCTGATGTGGGCGGTGACTTACCTCGCGCAAGTATATCCGCTTGAGAGTGAGTAGAACTGTTGCTTGGTACGGACCGGATGAGTGACTCTGCAATCCAGCACCACGGAAGGCAGTGGGCAAGGAGATGTGAGACGGTCGACCTCGGTCGAGGCTTGGTTCGGTGCGTCCTGTCCTGGTTCACCTAATGTCATAGAGCCCATTGAGCTGACGTATATGCAGGGGCTCTGATTTGTACTATTTATATTGCCGTCGTAATATCACATCACTCGCGTACGCCAGTGTCGTTTCTACTCTACAGTGGTGTCCCATTCGAAGCCTACCACGTCGCGCTGCCACTGTTCTGGGTCGCCCAACTACCACCCCATCCGCCTCCCCCGGCGCCCCATTCTTGCTCTCCACCCTCTGTTTTACCCCAGACACTGTCGCTGTCGTCATGAGGCCAGTGCCCGGTAAGTGGATCCTCGTGCTTCCACCCATCCTCCGACGGTTGCGTGTCGTCCTCGAACGGCGTGACAGGCCACTCCGATTCGTCCGAGCTTGATGAGAGATATGGTGAGTCGTAGCTCGTCACCAGTGTTTCCTCTGGTTCCGGCGACGTCACGTCCTCCGGTAAACCAGCTCTCAGCTCTGCAGTCCAGTCAGACATGGACGTCTCCTTGGATGCATCTAGCCGTAGGCCAGCGTGTTGCGCGATGGCATCGACCATGAGTTCCATCCATCCCCCACAAGCCGTCGCGACGCTCTCCTCCCACCACAGGTCTCCGAGCTGGATTGGATTGCTGCGGGAGTCTATCATCGTGCGCTTGATGATCTCGCCTCTCTCGTGCAGCGGCAACGGCTGGCAAGCCTTCTCGTGCGCGAGATGCTGGTGAGTGGCCAATAGTTTGTGCTGACCTTCATCGCAGCCCTGGACCTCACGCACTTGCTGGAAGCGCATACTCCTCTTCTCATCCCACCCTTCGCCATCTCGTCGCGTGAAAGCGGCAACTTGACTCGCATATCCAAGCGCCTCATCCCGTCCCCATTCGTCCTTCTCCGCAGCCCTGCCGACGCCGCCCACCTCGACATCGTATCCCCACGTCTCCGCTACGGTCGCGCACCATTCAGCAAACTCCTCGGGCGTCCATTCGAACTTGTGGTCGTGGTGTCGGAATATGCGATCAGTCCGCTGGGTGGGGTCTGGGTAGCCGGAGCGGGCGGTACGTGGAGCGTCGGGCGCGGTAAAGCGCGCGTTGAAGGTGAAGGAAGGTGTGGTGATGAGCAGGAGGTGGGGTTGGTATGCCCCGAGGAGGACGGGTGCGAAGTGAGCAAGTACGTCTTCTGGAAGGTGTTCAATGCTGGGTGAAGAGAGGTGAGGATGGTCGGGTCTGTGAGGAGACATGAGGAAGGAAGGGCGTACACTTCGGTCGCGACGATGCATTCCATACCGACAAATGCCGGGTTGACCGCCTCCAAACCACCTTCCCAAATTTCCACCTCCAGAGGCTCCCAGCGCAAGCGCCAATCGCTCGGCTCTGTGGCCTGCGTCGCATACTCTAAGTCGGTCGTAGAGATGTCGAGGCCAATGACTTTTAAGGGGTGTAGGAAGTCTTCTGTAGGATGGTCCAGACGTGCAGCGAATGGCGCAGCATCGGCTGTAACAGTGCTTGTGGCGACAGAGGCCTCTGAATGAACTGTGGCGAACGACTCGAGGATCGATTGCGGTGGTGGCGGGAGCCATGGTGCGGGATTGCATAGACACGAGATGAGCGATCCTTCACCGCATCCTACGTCGAGAACCTGCCGCATCCCACCAGTGAGACGTGGAAGTCCCACCTCGTGCGTGCTGTACTTACCTCGCTGACCCCTTCCCTGCGGAGCACATCGAACACCCATCCTCGTCTTTGTAGGAACAGCGGTGGCTGGAAAGTCACCGTCAGTTCGTCACTGTCTTCCTGGTATGTCGGTATAGAGGTCATGACGGCAGACAGAGGGTGGGTAGGAGACGGGGTGGCCGAGGTGGACAGACAGCGCTGCTTTATACATTCGGTGGTTGCACGCTTTGACTTCGAATTCGGACCTTAGTTGCACGCCGCGTCGCCCCGTTTGAACAATGGGTCAAGTGATAATAGTGGTCAATTCAAAGAGCCATGCCACAAAACCAAAGGCGGTGGCCAGTTCCAGGGCCACCATGTCCACCGGTGGCCGTAAGTAGAACAGCGGCGAGCCAGCGTATTCGACTCGACTTGCCAGAGGCCAGGTGGTATTGAGCGCCCATAGCCACCGCGCAAATGGCGCTTCGCGGACACAAGGCGCCTATTCTGGACTCTGCCTTATACCGCCACCTCGACCAGAGCGAGGAACAAGTTACCAACATGTCTATCATCCTTGCGACGTCTTCGTCGATGCCGACGCTACACACCACTACTATTGCATCTGAGAAGAGTATCAAAGTCCGTGGACAGCTCTACGTGCCTTGGTGCCGCGGTTGACGCCTTCTTTCAGCGCAAACTCGAGGATGCGATTCACACCCTGGACGAGGCGGTCGCCCCCACAGCATCGCAGCTTGAACAGCAGCCTCCAGCGAAGAAGCAGAGAACGAGCAAGAATCTATACGCCACCCTTGCGAAGTACGGGATTCGAAAGGAGTCTAAGGCGTGAGTAGTCCTGCGCTGCCACCGTCCGCGTTCGAGAGCTGACGCGGAGGCCTCGCAGTGCACAGCACACGAACGAATTAGAGACCCTTTCGAAAACCGCACCGCATCTAGCTGCGATCCTCACCCGCAGTGCGACACGCACAAGACAGGCACTGCCCTGGAAGCTCGGGCACTCGCAAAGGCCCGCCACAGCACCCTCCTCGACAACCGAATACCGACCGTCCTCAATGCAATCCTTCCTCTCACGCCTCTCCACGTTCAAGCTCTCCACATACTCCAATAAACCCACTGCAATTGACGCAGTAGCCGCAGCCAAGTGCGGCTGGGTGAACGATGGCAAGGACCGTCTCGTGTGTGGGATATGCGACGTGTCGTGGGTCGTCGGGGGGCGTGAGGGCATGAGCAGAGATGCTGGTATGTTGGACGAGTGAATGAATGAAGGTAGGTTCAGACTGACTGACCCTCCATAGCCAATACTTTGGTGGAGAAGCAGCGTGCGCAGCTGGTGGATATGCACAAGGACGGCTGCCCATGGAAGACGAGACAATGTGACGGTAGGTCTGGCCGGCGCTAGCAGCTTCCACAGTGCTGATTGTTGGTACAGACTCCATATACAGAATATCATTACAAGCACCTGCCGCTATGGCTAGGGAAATCAAGTCGCGTGCAGCCGCGCTGAACTGTGTCATGCAAGACGTCGAAATCAAGCACCCAATGGTGCGTAGCGTTTTCCACTTCACGAGCGACTCTCCTTACTGGAGTCGCAGACGTCCACCCAAATACAATCACTGCTGTCGACAATCTCAGCCGTTCGTGTCCGGACATTCGCCATTCCGGACTCGGACTCAGACGAGCCCATGTCCACTGAGAATGGCGATGCTTCCGAAGAACCACAGCCCTCGGAAGCAGCTATCATCACGGCGCTGTTTGGCTGGTCGGTCCTGCCACCAGCCCCACCCCCGGAGCGACCACGCACCCAGTCGTTGTCTCGCGCAAGCTCTGTGGCACCGTCGACGCCTGCGCGAACGCCAACTCGCGCCGCGTCCGTGATGTCTCTGCGAGAAAGCACGCCTACGCCAGGGACACCGAGCCGAGCTCGCCCGATGCTGGGTCAATCTAGTAGCCGGGCCACGATACCAGCACCTGTATCCGCAAAGCCGGACACCACCCTCCTGCATTGTGCACTCTGTCAGCGCCGAGTGGGACTGTGGGCGTTCATGTCCCCACCACAGACAAACGGCGACGCGCCGAGGCCTCAACAACGCCGACAACTCGACGTGCTCCGCGAGCATAGGTCATACTGCCCGTACGTCGTGCGCTCGACTGGCGTACCGTCCATGCCTGCGCCTTCGTCCGAGGGCGCATCGGCCTCGTTTGCGACTACGCAGCCAAGCAGCCAGAACACGGTCGAGGGCTGGCGCGCGGTATTTACTGTAGTGATGAGGCATGGGATGGCACGCAAGCAGCGGGTTGGACACGGCCGGAGCGTGAGCGGGAGATCGGCGAATGATCCGTCCGCTTCGCAAGGGCAGGGTGATCGGCCGCAGGAGGGTGAGGCGGAGGTGGGCTCTGTGGAGGCGATGGTTGCTGACGTGAAGAGTCGTGGGGTATGTTTCTTCGGATCGTACATCGTCTTCCACGCTGATTATCCTGCTCTCTCAGGGAAGGGATCTCCTGAAATATGTGAAGGGGTTATTGGGATAAGCTGGATTGCGGATCTTCGGTGTACACTATTTCGTTTCCCTCGTTGGTGCTGTGAAGGACACTCGCTGCTCTGCTGGTTGCTGTCTCTCGAAGTCTTGTAATAACGATTGTGGAATTATCGCGACCGTTGTGTCTGTTGCAAGTACGACTGATGTGTGGCGAAGAGAGACGCCTGTGGTTTCACACTGGCGGCGGCTTTGCGGCAACGCGTCCCCGCCTGCACCGCATCTATTCCTACCACCTCCATGTTCGTTACGTCTGCTTGATTGGTCTTGCTTTCCAGATACCTGCCGCCATCGCTCTTCACGATGCCTGCTGGCTACGCACCGCTCCCCAATCCCCGTTCTGAGCCGGATGCAGACCGGGAGCTGGAGGATGCGTTCGACGACCACGAAGACGACGAGCACTCGCCCACCGAAACGACCCACCTGACGCACCGGTACCCCGTCGAATCGCATCCTCTCTCCGTAGAGTCGGCCCTTCCCCCAGCAGGAACACCCCAACCACCGCATGGGGCGTACGACTTTGAGCGTGAGTACGAGTATGACTTCCCGCCACCGGGTTCCCCGCCATCGCCTTCTGCCTTCGCCCTCCCGAACGAAATCGGCAACTCGAACGGCCAGCTGCCTGCGACGCCCCAGCTTCCGGAGCCGCCAAAGCCGTCGTTTTTCCGGCGAGTGGTGGGCGTGCTGCTTCCACAGCACTATGCGAGGGTGCCGACGGAGGCGAGCGCTGCGTCTGCGCCGAGGGGCGGTGGGGTTGAGAACGACGGCGTCTTTGCAAATGTGATGGCGAAGCCTGTACGGTCGGTCACTGTGACAAACGAGAATGGGGAGGTTATCATGGTCCCGGAGGAGTCGCAGAACGATCTACCACCGGTGAGCATGGGTTCCACATACAGAATGACCTGCGCCAACCTTCGCCCCTGTAGTCATACCAGGAGGCCCAGGCAGACGCTGTGCCGCCGTACTGGGAGACGACGGTCATGGCGCCGGCAATAATGTCCATCGGCGGGGACATGATCGTGGACGACCTGCCCACGGGCTCCTTGATCTTCTTCGTCTCGACCGCATTCGTCTCCTACTTCTTCCAGTTCGTCGGCTTCGTGCTCACGTACCTCCTGCACACCACGCATGCCGCCAAGTATGGCTCGCGCGCGGGTCTTGGGCTCACGATGATCCAGTATGGGTTCTCGTCGCGCATGCGCGCTGCCCAGGATGAGGGCGAGGGCGGGGTGGGCCAGGATCTCATCTTGTGGAATGCGACGACGGGTCTGCCGGAGGTCATACACAAGACGGGGCCTGGGCAGGCGATGTTGCCCAATGGTACGGTGATCGACATCTCTGCGGCCGAATGGAGCATGGGCTCGCGAGACTGGATGTCGTTCCTGTTGATCATAATGGGTGCGTATTCTCTTCTGTCTGCGACATTTTACGAACACAATGTTCACAATGTTCTGCAGGTTGGTTCCTGCTCATCGCGTCCATCATCGGCTTCTACCGCGTGAAGCGGTGGGAGAAGTCCATCCGGCGGGCGGCCGACCCTCCCACGACGCGCACATCCGCGACGGAACAGGTGCAGCAGGACGCGGAGACGCGCCTCAACATCGAGCGCGTCTTCGGCATTTACGACTACAGCGAGCACGCCGAGGCGCCGACGCCCACCACGGCGCAGCTCAGCGAGGCGGAGTCGCGGCTGCAGCGAGATCTGCGGGAGGCAGGTTTGCTTTGATGTATATTAGGTTCGGATGACTTGTTCGAGTGTGCAGACGTTCTGGACGATTGTACTACTTATTTATTTAAGTAGGGCCTTGTGCTAATGCGATCGCAGTGGTCACTATATCTACTGCTGGGAGAACTAATGTAGACCTCGCGCATCACAATTACAGCGGCAAGGTTGTCTCTGGTGAGTTCACTTAGGACTCCGCTTCCTGCGTGTATCACGCCTACAGATCAGTGCTCAGCATCCCAATTGACGTGGCAATACAAGCTCCAGCAGCAGTGACCTCAACCGACGCGAAGCTGCATCCACCGTTCAAGTCGATCATAGTGTCGCCAACAGACTCGGCGGTATCACAATTAAACCATGGGGCACGCTTCGGGCGGGCTACTTCGTTGTTGGCAGACATTGACAGTTTGGAATACGGCTAGTAATACTTCTGAACGGCCTCGCTCAGCGTTGTGCAGACCTCTTCTGCCAAACGTCGAGGTACAGGTCAGCATTCGTATCGTAAAATGGGATCAGCCCTTTGGCGATCAGACCGTGGTGACTGGCAGGGGCATCTCGACATTCGTAGTTCGCAAGACACCGTGGCGTATATTATAACAACAACATCGAGCTTCATTTGTCACGCCTCTGCCTGTCTGCTTTACGGCCTCGCCTGCAAAGCACCGTCGAGGTATAGATCTACTTTCGTGTCGTAGAACGAGACGTATCCTTTGATCCCGGCAGCGTCACTGTTGGAGGGTTCGCCGTACCACCACACGATGTTGTCGAACTTATCCCCGCTCGGGAGTTCCACGGTGTAGTAATTCGCATTGCCCTGGGACGCAGGAGTGAGCTCAGATGCGCAACGAGGGGCA